ACGGTACATGAGAAGATGGTGCCAATATGGAAATTTCAACACTCAATGTATCTGCGCAACCCTCATGTCCCCTAAATGAACCTTAACCCAGACTTTACCCCAACCCAACCAAACCCTAATCTCAAATTATACAGGCAGATGGCACCAGTATAGAAATAGAACACTTGATGTATCTGCATAATGCCAGAATTCCCCCCGTGAAGGTCAGACGGAGCTCTTTGGCACATCTGAACGCATGCCACACTAAAAAAGATAGTGGCTCCAGAGGGGAGGCATGTGCAGATGTGCCACAGGACTTCGAGTTCCTAATTCTAATCCCAACCCAACCATACACTAGCCCTAACCCAACCCTAACCTGAACCTTAACCCTAATCCAACTCTTAAATTACATGGGAAGATGGTGCCAGCATGGCAATTCCAACACTCAATGTATCTGTATAAGGCCTGAACCCCCCCCCCCCCCCATCCCCTCACAGGGATCTGCCAGAACCTGAAGGCTGGATAGAGCCTTTTTGGCACATCTTTGCACACACCACACAGGGCCACAGGGCTTTGGGTCCCTAACTCTAACCCCAACCCTACACTAATCCTAAACTAACCCTAACCCAGCCATAACCCCAATTTAACCCTAACCCTAAGTTTCAAGGAAGATGGCACCAGTATAGAAATGACAACAATATACAGTATCAGTGTATTCTCTGAAACCCCCCTTGCATATGCAGATGTGCCGCAGGGCTCTGCATGTGCCAAACTAAAAAAAGATGGAGGCGCCATAGGGGAGGCATGTGCAGATGTGCCATAGGGCTTTGGTTCCCTAACGCCAACTCAACCCAAACCCAACCTTACCTCCAACCTAACCCAACACTAATCCTAACCCAACCATAACCCTATCCAAACCCAGCATTAGCCCCAACGTACCCCTAACCCGAAGTTACACGAGAAGATGGTGCTAGCATAGAAATTCCAACACTCAATGTACCTAGGTATGCCTGAAACCCCCCTTGATGTTCCCAAGGCTGGGCAGAGCCTAAGAAAAAGATGGTGGCATCAGAGAGACTAAGACACTAAGAAAGATGGTGGAGCCAGAGAGACTAAGAGACTAAGAAAGATGGTGGCACCACAGAGACTAAGAGACTAAGAAAGATGGTGGCGCCAGAGAGACTAAGAAAGATGGTGGCACCAGAGAGACTAAGAAAGATGGTGGCGCCAGAGAGACTAAGAGACTAAGAAAGATGGTGGCACCACAGAGACTGAAAGACTAAGAAAGATGGTGGCACCACAGAGACTGAAAGACTAAGAAAGATGGTGGTGCCAGAGAGACTAAGAGACTAAGAAAGATGGTGGCACCACAGAGACTAAGAGACTAAGAAAGATGGTGGCACCAGAGAGACTAAGAAAGATGGTGGCACCACAGAGACTAAAAGACTAAGAAAGATGGTGGCACCAGAGAGACTAAGAAAGATGGTGGCACCACACAGACTAAGAGACTAAGAAAGATGGTGGCACCAGAGAGACTAAGAGACTAAGAAAGATGGTGGCACCAGAGAGACTAAGAGACTAAGAAAGATGGTGGCACCACAGAGACTAAGAAAGATGGTGGCACCAGAGAGACTAAGAAAGATGGTGGCACCAGAGAGACTAAGAAAGATGGTGGCACCACAGAGACTGAAAGACTAAGAAAGATGGTGGCGCCAGAGAGACTAAGAGACTAAGAAAGAAGGTGGCACCACAGAGACTAAGAAAGATGGTGGCACCACAGAGACTAAGAGACTAAGAAAGATGGTGGCACCACAGAGACTGAGAGACTAAGAAAGATGGTGGCGCCAGAGAGACTAAGAAAGATGGTGGCACCACAGAGACTAAGAGACTAAGAAAGATGGTGGCACCACACAGACTAAGAGACTAAGAAAGATGGTGGCACCAGAGAGACTAAGAAAGATGGTGGCACCAGAGAGACTAAGAAAGATGGCGGCACCAGAGAGACTAAGAAAGATGGCGGCACCAGAGAGACTAAGAAAGATGGCGGCACCAGAGAGACTAAGAAAGATGGGGGCACCAGAGAGACTAAGAAAGATGGTGGCACCAGAGAGACTAAGAAAGATGGCGGCACCAGAGAGACTAAGAAAGATGGCGGCACCAGAGAGACTAAGAAAGATGGTGGCACCAGAGAGACTAAGAAAGATGGGGGCACCAGAGAGACTAAGAAAGATGGTGGCACCAGAGAGACTAAGAGACTAAGAAAGATGGTGGCACCAGAGAGACTAAAAAAGATGGTGGCACCAGAGGGGAGGCGTGGTCAAAAATGAAGGCAACTGAAGATCCTCCTTTATGTCCTTTTTGTTTAGAAAACAGTGCCATCTTGGCTCTTCCGGAACTCTGGGCTTCCCTTTTCATAAATCGTCCAGAAAGGAAAAAGGACAAGATGGACGCCTATGTGCCCAGCCAATGTGAAGGACGCCTCGCACATCAACATTCAACCCTCTCCCCCGCCCCTTCCCGACCTCCACCTCTCAAACGTTTGACAAACATCTTGCACGCGAGCTGAAGACAAAAAAAAAACGCCCTTTGATAAATCGCCGCTGCGTCCCTTGATTGCTGCGCGTTCCTGCATGCACGAATGTTTTCTTGTTCCTCCAAGAATGTAACATTCAATCATTTGTGTGTTTTCTGTAAACCGGTCGCAGAGAAGTGTTAAACTCAAACATATGACTTGCAGTTCCCGCGCCGTGCGCCCGCCGCCTGTATGAACAGCTCCATGTAAATAGCTGTCAATAAACACATCTGCTGCGAATGTATTCATTGAACGGCGGGGTCAGAGGTCCACACTGTTTATTGCCTCGTAAACTCCAAAACCCACTCAATTTATTGTTGCAAGTTGCAGAGGAAGAGCGGGCATGTGACGCGCGTGTTACCCCCTGCGCTCCCAGCGCCGATCTGGTCTCCATGTTGTCTGTTTATGGGACTCGTAGACCTGACATAGGAAAGGTCTGTTCTGGGGCAGATTGTAAAGAGGGGGCCGCCGTTCTGCCACAAATCATTACCGCCCTTTACCCCAACCCAACTTTTCACACCTTTATTTGTTTCCCGCGCGACCTTTTCGCTCAGAACTTTCCTCTCAATTCACAAATGCGGAACACGGGAACTATTTCCGGCTTTATTCTCGTCTGATGGAGAACTTATTCATTCAATAATGCCGGGGTCACACTTGTGAGGTGCGTCGGTGAACGCATGTTAACCCACATTGATGTGATGGGGGCTTCTGATGTGATGGGGGGCTTCTGATGTGGTGGGGGGACTCAGATGTGATTGGGGCTCTCATGTGATGGGGGGCTTCTGATGTGATGGGGGCTTCTGATGTGGTGGGGGGGACTCCGATGTGATGGGGCTCTCATGTGATGGGGGGCTTCTGATGTGGTGGGGGGACTCCAATGTGATGGGGCTTCTGATGTGGTGGGGGGACTCTGATGTGATGGGGCTTCTGATGTGATGGAGGGACTCTGATGTGATGTGATGGGGGCTCTCATGTGATGGGGGGGGCTTCTGATGTGGTGGGGGGACTCCGATGTGATGTGATGGGGGCTCTCATGTGATGGGGGGGCTTCTGATGTGGTGGGGGGACTCTGATGTGATGGCGGGGCTTCTGATGAGAAAGGGGGGGCTTCTGGTGAGAAAGTGGGACTACTGATGTGATTGGGGGGGGGAGTTCTAATGTGATAGGAAGACTCTGATGTGATGAGGGGCTTCTAATGTGAAAGGGAGATTCCGATGTGGTGGGGGCTTCTGATGTGATGGAGGGCTTCTGATGAGAAAGGGTGGACTTCTGATGTGAAAGAGGGGCTCTGATGTAATGGGGGGGCTTCTGATGTGATACAGGGACTCTGATGTGATGGGGGGGCTTCTGATGTAAAAGGGGCTGTAACCTGAAAAGGGGGGGCTCTGATGGAAGGGTGGACGTAATGAGGGGCTTCTGATGTGAAGTTATTTCTTGGAGTGTTTTTATTCATTCATTTAAATTTTGGGGGAATATTTGTAGAATCCACATTGTGGCCCTCATACTGGGAAGACTGGGGCCCCGGATAGAACGATGGTGGGATCAGGAAGACTAGAGAGGGGAATGTAGAAGGAAGTCTATGTGTCCTACAGAGAAGAATCACAGATGGAGAGCTTATCTGCTGATTATTATTCAAAACGGAAGAAAATTCCCGACTGCCAATGAAGATTTCACATTCCGGGAGGAAGAAGCGGCGTCAGTCCTTAGGGGCGGGGGAAGAAGCGGCATCATCCTCAGGGGGTGGGGGGGGAAGAAGCGACGTCGTTCCTCAGAGGTGGAGGAAGAAGCGGCGTCGTTCCTCAGAGGTGGGGGAAGAAGCGGCGTCGTTCCTCAGAGGTGGGGGAAGAAGCGGCGTCATTCCTCAGGGGCGGGGGAAGAAGCGGTGTCGTTCCTCAGTGGCAGAGGAAGAAGCTGCGTCGTTCCCCAGCGGTGGAGGAAAAAGTGGCATCCTTCCTCAGGGGCGGAGGAAGAAGCGGCTTCATTCCTTAGGGGTGGGGGAAGAAGCGACATTATTCCTCAGAGGTGGAGGAAGATGCGATGTCGTTCCTCAGAGGTGGAGGAAGAAGCGGCTTCATTCCTTAGGGGCGGGGGAAGAAGCGACATCATTCCTCAGAGGTGGAGGAAGATGCGACGTCGTTCCTCAGAGGTGGAGGAAGAAGCGGCGTCATTCCTCAGAGGTGGGGGAAGAAATGGCGTCATTCCTCAGGGGCGGGGTAAGAAGCGGTGTCGTTCCTCAGTGGTGGAGGAAGAAGCTGCGTCGTTCCCCAGCGGTGGAGGAAAAAGTGGCATCATTCCTCAGGGGCGGAGGAAGAAGCGGCGTCATTCCTCAGCGGTGGAGGAAGAGGACATAGTTTAGTTTTTTATACTTTGTTCATCCCCAGGAATGTACTCAGAGGTACGTGGTCTTCTCTGCTTTAGAACGTTCTTCATTATCCTCCAGGATCCCAGGCCTCATAATGACATGTTTCACCAGCTGGGTGACCAGCGTAAGAAGAGCTCTGATGAGGAGGAGTATTCTCCAGCAGTGTGACCAGCGGCCTATGACCAGCTTCTGGGCATCTGGATTGGTATAAATGAGTGCAAGCTCCCGAGGAACTTCCGGTTCCGGATGGTGGGAACCCCTCACATTGGGTACAGCAGGTGTACAAACCCGGGAACTCGGCACAGGGATGACGAGAACCCCTCATAATGGGCCCAGGTGGCGTACAGACTCGGGGACTCAGCACAGGGATGGTGGGAACCCCTCATAATGGGCACAGCAGGTGTACAGACAAGGGAACTCAGCACAGGAATGGTGGGAACCCCTCATAATGGGCCCAGCAGGCGTACAGACCCGGGGGACTCAGCACAGGGATGGTGGGATCCCCTCATAATGGGCACAGTGGGTGTACAGATCTGGGAACTCAGCAGAGGGATGGTGGGAACTGCTCATAATGGGCACAGTGGGTGTACAGACCCGGGAACTCAGCACAGGGATGGTGGGAACCCCTCATAATGGGCACAGTGGGTGTACGGACCCGGGAACTCAGCACAGGGATGGTGGGTTCCCCTCATAATCAACACTCCAGGTGTACAGACCCGGGAACAGAGATGGTACATTTTATATCTCCAATCCGAACCAATTTTCCGATTCCCTCTGAAGAAGTGGTCGCTGGTCCATGAAACGTGTCGGGAACAATCGTATTGTTGGATGAGAAATGTTGAGGCGTCACAATGTAACGAATGTCTCGCTCTCCATACATTACCGTCTTCTGATATGTTGAGGACTTTCCTTCCAGCAGGAACATAAACATGAACGTTCAGTGGAGCCAAGAAGATGGGAAGAGGGAAGTCAACGTCACTCATCCGCGGGACCCCAGACCAGGGGCGGACTGACAACTCATGGGGCCCCCGGCCAGTAGGAAATCATGGGGCCCCTGTGTCCTTACACACACTCAAACCACACCCAAAAAAGCCTATGAGAAGCTACCAGGAGCATCTCATGGGGCCCCCTACTGACCCTGGGCCCTCGGGCAGTGCCCGAGTGGCTAAACGGTCAGTCCGCCCCTGCCCCAGACATAAGATGGTCATCCAATCTGACAATCGCCATCAATACCGGGAATACCGGGAATACCGGGATCTGCACATACACAACGTTACCGAATCCTCGTTACAAGTTAGAAATTGCCAAAACCTGGTCATTGTGACCATTTGTTACCTTTTTCTCTGTTTTGCTGGGATTTCCCTCCCGTCTGGCCCATGGACATAAATGGCGCCCACATTTTCAGGCTGTGTCCGATCGCTGTACGGGACCTCTGTGTGAGGTCCTGATCATGTAATCACTGATTGGCCAATCAGTGATCACCAGGGTGGACTGACCATTTGGAAACTCAAGCACTGCCCGAGGGCCCGGGGTCAGTAGGGGGCCCCATGAGATGCCCCTGGTTCCTTTTTCATAGGCTTTTTGAGTTTGGGCAAGGACACAGGGGCCCCATGATCCCCTATTGACCGGGGGCCCCATGACTTGTCAGTCCACCCCTGGTGATCACATTAATAGTAGTAAGCAAGATGTCACTTCTGACATCATTGCTTACTACGTGTGAAATCTGTGAATGATCACAGAGGTCACATGGTACAGGGCTATTCACAACAGCCTTGTACCATGTGACAAGCTGTGACCAATCACAGCTCTCACAGTATTTCTCAATGGCTGCAGGAATGCAGCCAGAGAGAAGGAGAAATGATTCCTCTTACAGCCTTTATGGGTGTAAAAGCAATCAGTGTAAAAAAAAAAATCTTCATCACCCCCCACAAGTAGTACAGTGTCACCATGGTGACCCCACACTGCTAGGGTGACAGTATGTAAAAAAAAAACATAAATAATAATATAAAAAACTAAAATACAGATGTAAAAAAAAAATGTTTTTAAATTATATTTTTTGGTTATAAACTAATTTTTTTTTTTTTTTTTTTAGTAAAAAGATAGATAAATAAATTTTGGCCGAGATTTATGAAGAAAGATTATTTATTTGCAAAATTTTATTAGAAAAACACTTTTTTTTTTTTAATTTTTGGACTTTTTCATTTATATAGCAAAAAAAAAATAGAAATCCCAGCGGTGAATAAATACCACCAAAATAAAGCTTTATCTCTCTCAACAAAATGCTAAAAATATTCATATGGGTGCAGTGTTGCATGACCGCGCAATTGTCATTCAAAGTGTGATAGCGCTGAAAGCTGGAAATTGGCCTGGGGGGGAAGGGGGGGGGGGGGGGGGGGGGAGTGTCCGGACTGGAAGGGGGGGGAAGTGTCCGGACTGGAAGGGGGGGAAAGTGTCCGGACTGGAAGGGGGTGAAAGTGTCCGGACTGGAAAGGGGTGAAAGTGTCCGGACTGGAAGGGGGGGTGAAAGTGTCCGGACTGGAAGGGGGGGAAAGTGTCCGGACTGGAAGGGGGGGAAAGTGTCCGGACTGGAAGGGGGGGAAAGTGTCCGGACTGGAAGGGGGGGGAAAGTGTCCGGACTGGAAGGGGGGGAAAGTGTCCGGACTGGAAGGGGGTGAAAGTGTCCGGACTGGAAGGGGGTGAAAGTGTCCGGACCGGAAGGGGGTGAAAGCGTCCGGACCGGAAGGGGGTGAAAGCGTCCGGACCGGAAGGGGGTGAAAGCATCCGGACCGAAAGGGGGGGGGGGAGCGTCCGGACCGAAAGGGGGGGGGAGCGTCCGTACCGGAAGGGGGGGGAGCGTCCGGACTGGAAGGGGGGGAAAGTGTCCGGACTGGAAGGGGGGGAAAGTGTCTGGACTGGAAGGGGGGGAGTGGGGGGGAGTGTCTGGACTGGAAGGGGGGGAGTGTCCGGACTGGAAGGGGGGAGTGTCCAGACTGGAAGGGGGTGAAAGTGTCCGGACTGGAAGGGGAGGGAAGTGTCCGGACTGGAAGGGGGGGGAGGGGAGTGTCCGGACTGGAAGGGGGGGGGGAGCGTCCGGACTGGAAGGGGCGGGGGGAGCGTCCGGACTGGAAGGGGGGGAGCGTCCGGACTGGAAGGGGGGGAGCGTCCGGACTGGAAGGGGGGGGGAGCATCCGTACTGGAAGGGGGGGGAGCGTCCGTACTGGAAGGGGGGGGAGTGTCCGGACTGGAAGGGGGGGGAGTGTCCGGACTGGAAGGGGGGGAGGGGGGGGGGAGTGTCCGGACTGGAAGGGGGGGAGTGTCCGGACTGGAAGGGGGGGGGGAGTGTCCGGACTGGAAGGGGGGGGAGTGTCCGGACTGGAAGGGGGGGGAGTGTCTGGACTGGAAGGGGGGAGTGTCCAGACTGGAAGGGGGGGGGGAGTGTCCGGACTGGAAGGGGGGGAGTGTCTGGACTGGAAGGGGGGAGTGTCCAGACTGGAAGGGGGGGGGAGTTTCTGGACTGGAAGGGGGGAGTGTCTGGACTGGAAGGGGGGGAGTGTCCGGACTGGAAGGGGGGGCGTGTCCGGACTGGAAGGGGGGGAGTGTCCGGACTGGAAGGGGGGAAAGTGTCCGGACTGGAAGGGGGTGAAAGTGTCCGGACTGGAGGGGGGGGGAGTGTCCGGACTGGAGGGGGGGGGGAGTGTCCGGACTGGAAGGGGGGGAGTGTCCGGACTGGAAGGGGGGGGTGTCCGGACTGGAAGGGGGGGAGTGTCCGGACTGGAAGGGGGAGTGTCCGGACTGGAAGGGGGGAGTGTCCGGACTGGAAGGGGGGAGTGTCCGGACTGGAAGGGGTTAAAGCAGGAGAAGAGAATTCCCATGGAATTAGGGGAGTAACATGTGGCGGATCCTTCAGGCTGGAAAGGTCTAGTAGTGATGGATTGCGGGCAGATAAAGCCGCATTGCTTCTCCCGGCCAATGAAATACCTCCGCCATGCGCTCACCAGCTCGGGGGAATTAATATCTGTCGGCGTGCCGAGGGCAGCCCGGGACACTGAAGCTGCACCTTTGTGCCATGACGGAGATGTGCCTGAGTGCAGGATGACGTCGTTTTCCGTGATTTGCATTGAACGCGCCGACCATCCGCCTGGAACGGAGGATTACGCACGCCGCGGCCTTCCCGTCTGACGAATGCGTTTCTTATAGCAGACTTCTCGTATGAAACCCCAACAGCTAAAATACAGACAAAGCACATCTATGGGGCTGTGCTGCTCGCCATAACATCCTGTCCATCCAGTCCTGAGATTTACACAGTTCTGCCACACAGCACAACCCTCATACTGAAAGACTGGGGCCCCGGATGGAACGATGGTGGCAGCAGCTGTTGGAAGACTAGAGGGGGGATGTAGGAGGAGGAAGTCTATGTGTCCTACAGAGAAGAATCACGGATGGAGAGCTTATCTGCTGATTATTATTAAAAACGAAGAAAATTCCCGACTGAAAATGAAGATTTCACATTCCGGGAGGAAGACGCGGCGTCGTTCCTCAGCACCGTGACGGTGGGAACCCCTCATAATGGGCACAGCGGGTGTACAGACCCGGGAACTCAGCACAGGGATGGTGGGAACCCCTCATAATGGGCACAGCGGGTGTACAGACCCGGAACTCAGCACAGGGATGGTGGGAACCCCTCATAATGGGCACAGAGGGTGTACAGATCTGGGAACTCAGCACAGGGATGGTGGGGAACCCCTCATAATGGGCACAGCGGGTGTACAGACCCGGAACTCAGCACAGGGATGGTGGGAACCCCTCATAATGGGCACAGCGGGTGTACAGACCCGGGAACTCAGCACAGGGATGGTGGGAACCCCTCATAATGGGCACAGAGGGAGTGTACAGATCTGGGAACTCAGCACAGGGATGGTGGGAACCCCTCATAATGGGCACAGTGGTGTACAGATCTGGGAACTCAGCACAGGGATGGTGGGAACCCCTCATAAATGGGCATAGCAGGCGTACAGACCGGGGAACTCAGCACCGTGACGGTGGGAACCCTCATAATGGGCACACAGCGGGGGTACAGACCCTGGAACTCGGCACAGGGATGGTGGGAACCCCTCATAATGGGCACAGCGGGCGTACAGACCCAGGAACTCAGCACAGGGATGGTGGGAACCCCTCATAATGGGCACAGCGGACGTACAGACCCGGGAACTCAGCACAGGGATGGTGGGAACCCCTCATAATGGGCACAGCCGGCGTACAGACCCAGGAACTCAGCACAGGGATGGTGGGAACCCCTCATAATGGGCACAGCGGGCGTACAGACCCAGGAACTCGGCACAGGGATGGCGGGAACCCCTCATAATGGGCACAGAGGGTGTACAGATCTGGGAACTCAGCACAGGGATGGTGGGAACCCCTCATAATGGGCACAGAGGGTGTACAGATCTGGGAACTCAGCACAGGGATGGTGGGAACCCCTCATAATGGGCACAGCAGGCGTACAGATCTGGGAACTCAGCACCGTGACGGTGGGAACCCCTCATAATGGGCACAGCGGGGGTACAGACCCTGGAACTCGGCACAGGGATGGTGGGAACCCCTCATAATGGGCACAGCGGGCGTACAGACCCAGGAACTCAGCACAGGGATGGTGGGAACCCCTCATAATGGGCACAGCGGACGTACAGACCCGGGAACTCAGCACAGGGATGGTGGGAACCCCTCATAAATGGGCACAGCCGGCGTACAGACCCAGGAACTCAGCACAGGGATGGTGGGAACCCCTCATAATGGGCACAGCCGGCGTACAGACCCATGAACTCAGCACAGGGATGGTGGGAACCCCTCATAATGTGCACAGCGGGGTACAGACCCAGGAACTCAGCACAGGGATGGCGGAACCCCTCATAATTCAGTGACCCGGATTTTCTCCGCTGCAGTTAAACAACACAGCCGGGTCACCTCCCCACACCCCCAGCAACAGACTGAGAGTGACAGAATGGAAATGGAATGGGTGGGGCCAGAGGCAGTCAGGCTGAGGAGCGAAGAGCTAGATGATGTTGGACATCCTCCAGCCAGGAAATGAGCTCTCTCTGTGACTTGCTGCAGCCTCTAATACACATTGTGAGAAGCTCACAGTGTGCAGTGAAATCATTTCAGTCCAGGAGGTAGAGTCGGTACAACTGTGAAGACTGATGGGGTGGGGAAGAGACGGAGGTCAAAGTTCAGCCTAGACTTCAGATTTATGTTGTTTCCAATCATCTTCTTTTTTTTTTTTTTTTTTAAATACCTCCAAAGAAAAGGTTTTACAGTAAAAAAGTTCAGTCCTTAACGTAAGCGGTGACCTGTCCCACCAGAATGTGGGCGGAGCTTCCACACGCACACCACGTTCGCCGAGACGCGCTCCCATCAAGACGTTGAAAAGCATTTTTAGCCGCATTACAGCATCCTGAAAAATGTGAAAATTCTGCGCAAAGAAAAAAAAAAGCTGTAAACTGACCTCCCCAAAGAACACATTAATTATCCGGCTTAAGTCGGGCGGATGTGCGGGTTCTAGCGCGGGGGACAGCGCGGGAGCGCGGAGATAAGGCGGTGTTTCACTCAGCTGGATACTTTGTAGTTCGCACACATTAGTAACATAACGCGAAGCCGGCTTCGTCAAGTGTCCTGTCTGCGTTTTCACATTTCATTAGCGTTCTAATTTAAATTTAAAATCTAAGCCACATTTCCAGCGATATTACCGACTAACAAGAAAGGGGTGGGAACTGCTCGGGGTCACGGCCCCGCTCGCTCTTAAAGGGGAACTCCAGGCGGGTCACCTTTGCAGCACTCGTACGCTCGCTTTTTTTATGTTGGCCCGGAGTTCATTAGTGCCATGGCGCTGGTCATGCCAAGTGGTGTTGGCCCCGGAGTTCATTAGTGCCATGGCGCTGGTTCTGCCAAACAACATGGTGTTGGCCCGGAGTTCATTAGTGCCATGGCGCTGGTTCTGCCAAGTGGTGTTGGCCCGGAGTTCATTAGTGCCATGGCGCTGGTTCTGCCAAGTGGTCTTGGCCTTTTCAGGCACGGCGGTTTTAGCGCAACAAAATTTACGACGGTCGAAAGTTAATTTAGCACTAATGCTAACCCTTGACATGGCCCTGACCTTCACCCGAGTACACTTGTATCTCCATAGAAGCCTTTGTCAACCTTCTAACCCCAGAGGAACCCTCAAAATAATTTACAGGTCTTGGGGAACCCCATCTTAAACCAACTCATCGGGGGATCAGTAGCACAAATGCCCCTTACATTGGAAGTCAATGAGAAGAATGCCACCCTTACAGTCAACAAACAAGGTCGTAGGTGTCTTCCTGCTGGTTCTGCAGGCACCATCAGATGGGAGGTCAACCACAGTTCAGGGAACATATGGCAACCTCTGAAGGAAGCCTGGTTGGCAATGGGGCTGATCTGAAAGACCATTAGTGCCATGGCGCTGGTTCTGCCAAGTGGTGTTGGCCCGGAACTATGCAGGCACCATCAGATGGGCATTCAGCCACAGTTCATGGAACATATGGCAACCTCTGAAGGAAGCCTGGTTGGCATTGGGGCTGATTAGAAAGACCATTTGTGCCACTGCGATGGTTATGCCAAGTGGTTTTGGCCCGGAGTTCAGTTGGCGCGGTAGTTTTCAGGCACGACGGTTTTAGCGTGACAAAATTTACAATGTTCTAAAGTTAATTTAGCATTAATGCTAACCCTTGACATGGCCCTGACCTTCACCCCAGTACACTTGTATCTCCATAGAAGCCTTTGTCAAACTTCTAACCCCAGAGGAACCATCTTAAACCAACTCATCGCGGGGATCAGTAGAAAAAATGCCCCTTACATTGGAAGTCACTGAGAAGAATGCCACCCTTACAGTCAACTAACAAGATCGTAGGTGTCTTCCTGCTGGTTCTGCAGGCACCATCAGATGGGAGGTCAACCACAGTTCAGGGAACATATGGCAACCTCTGAAAGAAGCCTGGTTGGCAATGGGGCTGATCTGAAAAACCATTAGTGCCATGCCGCTGGTTCTGCCAAGAGGTTTTGGCCCGGAGTTCAGTTGGCGTGGTAGTTTTCAGGCACGACGGTTTTAGCGCGACAAAATTTACGACGTTCTAAAGTTAATTTAGTACTAATGCTAACCCTTGACATGGCCCTGACCTTCACCCGACTACACTTGTATCTCCATAGAAGCCTTTGTCAACATTCTCACCCCAGAGGAACCCTCAAAATAATTTACAGGTCTTGGGAACCCCCATCTTAAACCAACTCATCGGGGGATCAGTAGAAAAAAATGCCGCTTACATTGGAAGTCAATGAGAAGAATGCCACCCTTACAGTCAACAAACAAGGTCGTAGGTGCTTTCCTGCTGGTTCTGCAGGCACCATCAGATGGGAGGTCAACCACAGTTCAGGGAACATATGGCAACCTCTGAAAGAAGCCTGGTTGGCAATGGGGCTGATCAGTAAGACCATTAGTGCCATGGCGCTGGTTCTGCCAAGTGGTGTTGGCCCCGGACTTTGCAGGCACCATCAGCTGGGCATTCAGCCACAGTTCATGGAACATATGGCAACCTCTGAAGGAAGCCTGGTGGGCAATGGGGTTGATCTGAAAGACCATTAGTGCCATGCCGCTGGTTCTGCCAAGTGGTCTTGTCCAGGAGTTCAGTTGGCGCGGTAGTCTTCAGGCACGGTGGTTTTAGCACGACAAAATTTATGACGGTCGAAAGTTAATTTAGCACTAATGCTAACCCTTGACATGGCCGTGACCTTCACCCGAGTACACTTGTATCTCCATAGAAGCCTTTGTCAACCTTCTAACCCCAGAGGAACCCTCAAAATAATTTACAAGTCTTGGGGAACCCCCCATCTTAAACCAACTCATCGGGGGATCAGTAGCACAAATGCCCCTTACATTGGAAGTCACTGAGAAGAATGCCACCCTTACAGTCAACTAACAAGGTCGTAGGTGTCGTCGTAGGCATCATCAGATGGGAGGTCAGCCACAGTTCATGGAACATATGGCAACCTCTGAAGGAAGCCTGGTTGGCAATGGGGCTGATCAGAAAGACCATTAGTGCCATGGCGCTGGTTCTGCCAAGTGGTGTTGGCCCGGAGTTCCGTTGGCGTGGTAGTTTTCAGGCACGATGGTTTTAGCGCGACAAAATTTATGACGTTCTAAAGTTAATTTAGCACTAATGCTAACCCTTCACATGGCCCTGACCTTCACCCCAGTACACTTGTATCTCCATAGAAGCCTTTGTCAACCTTCTAACCCCAGAGGAACCATCTTAAACCAACTCATCAGGGGATCAGTAGAAAAAATGCCCCTTACATTGGAAGTCAGTGAGAAGAATGCCACCCTTACAGTCAACTAACAAGGTTGTAGGTGTCTTCCTGCTGGTTCTGCAGGCACCATCAGATGGGAGGTCAGCCACACCTCATGGAACATATGGCAACCCCTGAAAGAAGCCTGGTTGGCAATGGGGCTGATCAGAAAGACCATTAGTGCCATGGCGCTGGTTCTGCCAAGTGGTGTTGGCCCGGAACTATGCAGGCACCATCAGCTGGGTGTTCAGCCACAGTTCATGGAACATATGGCAACCTCTGAAGGAAGCCTGGTGGGCAATGGGGCTGATCTGAAAGACCATTAGTGCCATGCCGCTGGTTCTGCCAAGTGGTTTTGGCCAGGAGTTCAGTTGGCGCGGTAGTCTTCAGGCACGGTGGTTTTAGCACGACAAAATTTATGACGGTCGAAAGTTAATTTAGTACTAATGCTAACCCTTCACATGGCCCTGACCTTCACCCCAGTACACTTGTATCTCCATAGAAGCCTTTGTCAAACTTCTAAGCCCAGAGGAACCCTTGAAATAATTTACAGGTCTTGGGGAACCCCATCTTAAACCAACTCATCGGGGGATCAGTAGCACAAATGCCCCTTACATTGGAAGTCACTGAGAAGAATGCCACCCTTACAGCCAACTAACAAGGTCGTAGGTGCTTTCCTGCTGGTTCTGCAGGCACCATCAGATGGGAGGTCAACCACAGTTCAGGGAACATATGGCAACCTCTGAAGGAAGCCTGGTTGGCAATGGGGCTGATCAGAAAGACCATTAGTGCCACTGTGCTGGTTCTGCCAAGTGGTGTTGGCACAGAACTATGCAGGCACCATCAGCTGGGGTTCAGCCACAGTTCATGGAACATATGGCAACCTCTGAAAGAAGCCTGGTTGGCAATGGGACTGATCAAAAAGACCATTAGTGCCATGTCGCTGGTTCTCCCAAGTGGTGTTGGCCTGGAACTATGCAGGCACCATCAGATGGGAGTTCAGTCACAGTTCATGGAACATATGGCAACCTCCAAAGGAAGCCTGGTTGGTAATGGGGCTAAACAGAAAGACCATTAGAGCCATGCCGCTGCTTCTGTCAAGTGGTGTTGGCCTGGAACTATGCAGGCACCATCAGGTGAGAGGTTAATTAGTCACAGCTCAATTGTGGCTGATCAGAAAGACCATTGGTGCCATGCCACTGGTTCTGCCAAGTGTTGTTGGCTCCGGATCTATGCAGGCACCATCAGATGGGAGGTCAATTTGTCACAGTTCAAGGAAATTCTAGCAACCTCTGGAGGTACCCTGGTTGGTCTAGGGGAACTCCAGCTATATGTCTCAGAGAACCCCTTCTAAAACAAATTCATCAGGGGATCAGTAGAAAAAAATGCCCCTTACCTTAGGAGTCAGTGAGAAGAAAGCCACCCTTACAGTCAACTATTAAGATTGCAGGTGCCTTCCCGCTGGTTCTGTCAAGTGGTGTTGGCCTGGAACTATGCAGGCACCATCAGATGGAAGATCAATTAGTCGCAGCTCAAGGAACCCCCAGAAACCTCTGTAGGTGCTGGCTCTACAACTATGTACGCACCATCAGATGGGAGGTCAGTCGGCTACAGTTCAAAGAACTCCTAGCAACTTCTAAAGGAACCTTAGGGATCCACAGATCCTTGGTTGAGAATGGGTGATCATAAAGATCTATGGTGCCATGCCACTGGTTCTGCCAAGTGGTGTTGGCTGTGGAACTATGCAGGTACCATCAGATGGGAGGTCAGTTAGTCACAGTTCCAGGAACCCCCAGAAACCTCTGTAGGTGCTGGCTCTACAACTATGCAGGTACCATCAGATGGGAGGTCAATTAGTCACAGTTCCAGGAACCCCTAGCAACCTCTGGAGGAACCCTGGGTGAGAATGGCTTCCCTACAGAGTAGGAAATGATTAGAAGCTTCACATGCATCTTCACCTGTCTGGGTGAACCGACAGAGCACATTTCTTCAAAATGAGGGAAATCCCTTCTTGGCAGTTCTCACCAATGCTCCCGTTTGGAAGATTTTATCTCTCATTTATATTCTGGTGACAACTGTAAAATTTAGATTTTCCCACCATGCATAGCAACAGCAATAAAAACCAACTTGTGGCAGTTATGGTTCATCTAACACTTTATTAAACTTTGTGTTGTGACATGCAGAGAAGTGCTGCACTCTTACGGAACCAATGCACATGTGTAACGTGAACAACGCACGCAGGGTGAAGAGCATGGTCAGTGAAGGTGTTTACCACAACATATGGTTCCGTAAGGCTCCATCCAGCCCATGGGTGACCTGTGTACATGTAGGCCGGTGCAGTCTACTTTCTGCGCTGCAGGTGGCGCTCAACTGCGGCGGCATTGTAGAGGGGAAGGAAGTCAAGGGGAACATGGGAAGCTATATGGTTGGATGCTGCTGCATCATGTGACTCTGGCAGCCATCTTGTGCCGAGCAGAGTCTATTTAAGACCCTGGCTTCCAGGCTTGGCATGCATTTCCCGTGTGTGTCGTGTAGGGACGGGTCGCCTGCCTGACAGGGACAGTATTAGCGGCAGGGAGAGGTTCCAGACTAGTAGGGAAAGGGACTGTCCCTATATTGGAGCCAAATCCCTCTGTCCCCCCCAATGTCCCTCTTCCTGGCCTGAGGTACAGACCTCTACAAAAAGAAACACTATAGAGGAATATTTATAAAGAGTTATTCGTTCTGTGTGTACATTCACTCTGTGAGAATGGGGACAAGATCGAATGTTACTAAGCTATTCCCTCTCCAGGTTGAATGTTGTTCAGTCACAGTGGAAAAACGCACTTCAGGAAAATACCACATTGTGGCCACTAGATGGAGCTGACCTAGTAAATTCTGCTGTTATTCTATCCTGACCCCCAGCGATCGGCCCGTTATGGATTATTCTATCCTGACCCCCAGCGATCGGCCCATTATGGATTATTCTATCCTGACCCCCAGCGATCGACCCGCTCCAATTGATTCTATCCTGACCCCCAACAATCGGTCCACTCTGGATTATTTTATCCTGACCCCCATCGATCGACCCACTCTGGATTATTGTATCCTGACCCCCATCGATCGACCCACTCTGGATTATTCTATCCTGACCCCCAGCGATCGACCCACTCTGGATTATTCTATCCTGACCCCTAGCAATCGGCCCGCTCCAATGATTCTATCCTGACCCCCAGCGATCGGCCCGCTCTGGATGATTCTATCCTGACCTCCAGCGATCGGCCCGCTCCAGATGATTTTATCCTGACCCCCAGCGATCGACCCACTCTGGATGATTCTATCCTGACCCCCAGCAATCGGCCCGCTCCAGATGATTCTATCCTGACCCCCAGCAATCGGCCTGTTATGGATTATTCTATCCTGACCCCGAGCGATTGGCCCGCCCCAGATGATTCTATCCTGACCCCCAGCGATCGGCCCGCTCCAGATGATTCTATCCTGACCCCCAGCAATCGGCCTGTTATGGATTATTCTATCCTGATCCCCAGCGATTGGCCCGCTCTGGATTATTCTATCCTGACCCCCAGCGATCGGCCCGCTCCAGATGATTCTATCCTGACCCCCAGCGATCGGCCCGCTCCAGATGATTTTATCCTGACCTCCAGCGATCAACCCGCTCTGGATTATTCTATCCTGACCCCCAGCGATCGACCCACTCTGGATTATTCTATCCTGACCCCTAGCAATCGGCCCGCTCCCCGATGATTCTATCCTGACCCCCAGCGATCGGCCCACTCTGGATTATTCTATCCTGACCTCTAGCGATCGGCCCGTTCTGGATGATTTTATCCTGACCCCCAGCGATCGGCCCGCTCTGGATGATTCTATCCTGACCCCCAGCGATCGGCCCGCTCCAGATGATTTTATCCTGACCCCCAGCGATCGACCCACTCTGGATTACTCTATCCTGACCCCCAGTGATTGGCCCACTCTGGATTATTCTATCCTGACCCCCAGCGATTGGCCCACTCTGGATTATTCCGGCAAGATTTCTGATGTTTGTAGAATCCCAGCGCAGTCCTCATAGTCGGTCACTGAAATGGCGGCAGTCCTGGTCGGGGATTTCTCCTGAACTGGTAATGATTTCATCAGCTAATTTGTAACGTTGCAGCAGGTAATAGGATTGGGGCCCCGGGGGCTGACATTAGACAGCGCTGCCCCGGGGCCCCGCGATGACACGCACTCTGAGCTATGTCATAATTTAAACCAGCAGCCGGAGAGCCGCACTGGAGCAGCCCGATGCCAGCAATCACATCATTGGACGAAGCTCAGGTTACGCCTCTAATCCAACAGCGCAGGTTGTAAAGTCCTAAGTGACGCTCGGCGATGAAAATCCCCTCATATCTGCCTGATTCCCGAGTCTGGGGGGGGGAACGCGCTGCTTGGCGGCCATACTGCGATCACAGAGACCGAATACGCCCGGCGCTGAAAATCCCCTCATATCTGCCTGATCCCCGCGTCTGGGGGGGGGGGGGGGGGAACGCGCTGCTTGGCGGCCATACTGCGATCACAGAGACCGAATACGCTTGGCTCCGAAAATCCCCTCATATCTGCCTGATCCCCGCCTCGGGGGGGGGGGAACGCGCTGCTTGGCGGCCATACTGCGATCACAGAGACCGAATACGCTCGGCGATGATAATCCCCTCATATCTGCCTGATCCCCGCGTCTGGGGGGGGAAACGCGCTGCTTGGCGGCCATACTGCGATCACAGAGACCGAATACGCTCGGCGATGATAATCCCCTCATATCTGCCTGATCCCCACGTCGATACCCACGATACTGCGATCACAGAGACCGAATACGCCCGGCGCTGAAAATCCCCTCATATCTGCCTGATCCCCGCGTCTGGGGGGGGAACGCGCTGCTTGGCGGCCATACTGCGATCACAGAGACCAAATACGCTCGGCGATGATAATCCCCTCATATCTGCCTGATCCCCGCGTCTGGGGGGGGGAACGCGCTGCTTGGCGGCCATACTGCGATCACAGAGACCAAATACGCTCGGCGATGATAATCCCCTCATATCTGCCTGATCCCCACGTCCAGGGGGGGGGAACGCGCTGCTTGGCGGCCATACTGCGATCACAGAGACCGACGGGTGATAAATGGGAGCAAAGCCACACAATGGAGAAGGAAAAAAATCCCTGGAATCTGAGCATTCCGAGGGAACGAGATCGATTAATAATTGTGTTTATTAGCCTGCGTGTCCAGACAAAACCGATCGTTTGCAAGTCAAAGTTTAATCTGCTTCTATTTTACCGCAAGACTGAAGGGGAGGAGCCGGTACACCTGTGCAAGACTGAGGGGGAGGAGCCGTTACACCTGTGCAAGACTGAAGGGGAGGAGCCGGTACACCTGTGCAAGACTGAAGGGGAGGAGCCGCTACACCTGTGCAAGACTGGAGGGGAGGAGCCGGTACACCTGTGCAAGACTGAAGGGGAGGAGCCGGAACACCTGTGCAAGATTGAAGGGGAGGAGCCGGTACACCTGTGCATGACTGAAGGGGAGGAGCCAGTACACCTGTGCAAGACTGAAGGGTAGGAGCCGGTACACCTGTGCAAGACTGAAGGGGAGGAGCCGCTACACCTGTGCAAGACTGGAGGGGAGGAGCCGGTACACCTGTGCCAGACTGAAGGGGAGGAGCCGGTACACCTGTGCAAGATTGAAGGGGAGGAGCCGGTACACCTGTGCAAGACTGGAGGGGAGGAGCCGATACACCTGTGCAAGACTGAAGGGGAGGAGCTGGTACACCTGTGCAAGATTGAAGGGGAGGAGCCGGTACACCTGTGCATGACTGAAGGGGAGGAGCCAGTACACCTGTGCAAGACTGAAGGGGAGGAGCCGCTACACCTGTGCAAGACTGAAGGGGAGGAGCAGGTACACCTGTGCAAGACTGAGGGGGAGGAGCCGGTACACCTGTGTAAGACTGAAGGAGAGGAGCTGGTACACCTGTGCAAGACTGAAGGGGAGGAGCCGCTACACCTATGCAAGATGGAAGGGGAGGAGCCGGTACACCTTAGCAAGACTGAAGGGAGGAGCCGGTACACCTGTTCCAGACTGAAACCATCCATGACACCACTTGACTGGCCTGCAACAGTTTTGGGCAGCTTTTCCAAAAGATGGGTTCAAGGGGTCGATCTGCGTGTGATGAGCCCAATCATGCAGCATCTGCCTATATGAATGGGTAAGTAGAGAGTGTAAATATGCCAGACTAGCCATTCCACATCATAAATAGGTGGGCACATAGAAGGGAGGAGGGCAGAGAGGCAATACAAACATGGCAACAGCCCCTAAGAGAGTGGAGCTCACTGGAATAAAGGATTGTGGAAATCGCTGGCCATCACTGGAAATGAGGCCAAATGTTCCTCCCTCCAGTGGGGGGGAAGGAAAATTAAATGGTTCTACCCATCAAGGGGTACAGTAGAGATTGAGGAAGGTTTCTAACCTACTAGGTCAATTGTTTCCCAAAGCAAGAGCCAACCAATACAGCCAATGCATAGACATGGGCTTTTTGTCAGATCAGTTGACCGTCATCTCATGACAGTCAGCACCTAATAAATGGTGAATGGATCTACCATAGTAGAAATTGCGGAAGGTGTTTTAAGGTCTTCCAACTTACTAGGCCAATTGTTTTCCAAAGCAAGAGACAACCAATGGAATAAATGGCCTTTTGTAGACATAGGCTTGTTTCTAGATCAGTTGACAGTCATCTCATGCAAATCAGCACCCAATGAATTATGAATGGTTATACCGTAAAAGAGAGTGGGGAAGGTCTTCTAAAGTCTTCCAACCTACCAGCCCAGTTTTTGCCCAAAGCTAGAGCCAACCAACACAGCCAGTGGCCTTGTGTAGACATGGGCTTGTTCTCAGATCATTTTGACTGTCATCTCATGCCAATCAGCACATGATGAATGATGGAATGATGAATGGTTCTACCCTAGTGGAGACTGGGGAAGGTCTTCAAACCTACTAGGTCAGTTGTTGCCCAAAGCAGGAGCCAACCAATGGAACCAGTGGCCTTGTGTAGACATTCTTGTACTCAGATCATTTTGAACATCATCTCCTGCCAATCAGCACTTGATGAATGATGAATGGCTCTACCCTAGCAGAAATTGCAGAAGATCTTCTAAGGTCTTCAAACCTACTGGATCAGCTGTGACCCAAAACAAGAGCTAGCCAATGTCCTTGCATAGACATGGAATTGTTGTCAGATCCGTTGACTGTCATCTCATGCCAATCAGCACCTGATGAATAAAAGGTCTTCTAAGGTCTTTCAACCTACTAGGTCAGTTGTTGCCCAAAGCAAGAATCAACCAACACCACCAATGGCCTTGCACAGACATGGGTTTGTTGTCAGATCAGTTGACTGTCTTCTCAGGACAATAGGCACCTTAACCTACATGTCACCATTTTCTTCAATGAGTGACCATTTGTCTTCAATGAGTGACACCCTTATCTTAAATGAGTTACACACTGTCTTCAATGAGTGACACCCTTGTCTTCAATGTGTCCTCAGTGAGGTGACACCCTTGTCTTCAGTGAGTGACACCTTGTCTACCCTAGTGGAGACTGGGGAAGGTCTTCCAGCCTACTAGGTCAGTTGTTGCCCAAAGCAGGAGCCAACCAATGGAGCCAGTAGCCTTGTGTAGACATTCTTGTACTCAGATCATTTTGAACATCATCTCCAGCCAATCAGCACTTGATGAATGATGAATGGCTCTACCCTAGCAGAAATTGCAGAAGATCTTCTAAGGTCTTCAAACCTACTGGATCAGTTGTGACCCATAACAAGAGCCAGCCAATGGCCTTGCATATACATGGGTTTGTTGTCAGATCCGTTGACTGTCATCTCATACCAATCAGCACCTGATGAATAAAAGGTCTTCCAAGGTCTTTCAACCTACTAGGTCAGTTGTTGCCCAAAGCAAGAACCAACCAACACCACCAATGGCCTTGCACAGACATGGGTTTGTTGTCAGATCAGTTGACCGTCTTCTCATGCCAAAAGGCACCTTAACCTACAGTTGTGACCAAAATTATTCAACCCCCAATGCTGTAAAGGGGTTTAGGGACTATAGTGTACATTTGGAATTGTATTCAGAATCAAATCCTACAAGGACGTTGTAACTACCCAAATGCAACTAAAATGACATCAATTGTTTATGTAATACAGTAGTAAATGGTTCTTATGTGGTTTCTTCATTGCCACAATTATTCAACCCCTTAAAGACTACCACTCTGAAGAACAGAGGTTCATACAGGTGCTTTCCATCAGGTATTGAAAACACCTGTGGATGTCACCGAGCAGCAATCAAGCATAATAAGCACCAATTAGGCAGCTTTAAAATGACTGTGATACTCAGCTCCTTCTAGACATTTACTGGTGTGGTTACAAACATGGTGAAGGCAAGAGAATGGTCCAGGAAGACAAGAGAAGAGGTGATTTCTCTTCACAGGAAGGGCAATGGCTATAAGAAGATTGCAAAGATGTTAAACATACCAAGAGACACCTTAGGAAGCATCATTCGCAAATTCAAGGCAAAGGGCACTGTTGAAACGCTACCTGGTCGTGGCAGAAAGAAGATGCTGACTTCGACTGCTGTGCGCTACCTGAAGCGTAGAGTGGAGAGAAGTCCCCGTGTGACTGCTGAGGAACTGAGAAAAGATTTGTCAGATGTGGGTACAGAAGTTTCAGCCCAGACAATAAGACGCACACTGCGTAATGAAGGCCTCCGTGCCAGAACTCCCAGGCGTACCCCCTTGCTGTCTCCAAAGAATAAGAAGAGTCGACTGCAGTATGCCAAAAGCCATGTGGACAAACCACAAAAGTTGTGGGATAGTGTTCTGTGGACTGATGAAACAAAATTAGAACTGTTTGGGCCCATGGATCAACGCTATGTTTGGAGGAGGAAGAACAAGGCCTATGATGAAAAGAACACCTTGCCTACTGTGAAGCATGGTGGAGGGTCAATCATGCTTTGGGGCTGTTTTGCTTCTGCAGGTACAGGGAAGCTTCAGCGTGTGCAAGGTACCATGAATTCTCTTCAGTACCAGGAGATATTGGATGGAAACGTGATGCAGTCCGTCACACACCTGAGGCTTGGGAGACGTTGGACCTTTCAACAGGACAATGATCCCAAGCATACCTCCAAGTCCACTAGAGCATGGTTGCAGAGGAAAGGCTGGAACATTTTGGAGTGGCCATCGCAGTCACCAGACTTAAATCCGATTGAGAACCTCTGGTGGGACTTAAAGAAAGCAGTTGCAGTGCGCAAGCCTAAGAATGTGACTGAACTGGAGGCCTTTGCCCATGAAGAATGGGCGAAGATACCCGTAGATCGCTGCAAGACACTTGTGTCAAGCTATGCTTCACGTTTAAAAGCTGTTATAACTGTAAAAGGATGCTGTACTAAGTACTAAGATTGAATGTCACTTGGGGGTTGAATAAAACTGATAATGCTGTGAGCACAGAAAAGACATTTGTGGTTATTTCATTATAACTGTTATGTTATATTTGTCTGACCTACAAGTGCCTCTTTAATGTAAATGTAAGCAAGATGACTGAATGATCAAAAGCAATGTCAAACTGGCCAAAACACTCAATTTCAGTGGGGGTTGAATAATTTTGGTCACAACTGTACATGGAATGAATTTTGCTCTGTTCAGCTATATAAGTCAAAAGAAGTGGGAGAGGAAGAGTTAAAGTACCTGCCTGCTTAGTAACTACAGAAAACAGCGGTGACTCATAGGCCGCGGTCTCCTCCCCCCACCCACCTCCACCACCATCCCAATCATGTGGTGGAACCACCAGGTCAGGGATGCTAGCCGCGCTATAGGAGAACTACTGAGATAATGGCTGATCAGGAATTCAGAGGACCTAGAAAAGTAACACACAGGGGCGGACTGACAACTCATGGGGCCCCCGGGCAATAAGGGATCATGGGGCCCCTGTGTCCTTGCCTAAACTCAAAAAGACCTACTGACCCTGGGCCCTCGTGCAGTGCCCGAGTTTCCAAATAGTCAGTCCGCCCCTGATAACACATACAGTTTTATTCCATCGAGGACTGCCAGAAATGACAACACCGCCGGCTAAACCCGTACAGGTGCAGCTAAACCCCCGTCTGGAGGAGACATGACCACGGACACTCAGAGGACACCTTCACTTTTTGTATGACATTGGCTTGAGGTGGGAGGGCAATATCCTCCATCAAAAAGTTCCCTAAGTCCCGCCTCCTCGACAGGCTAATTACATTTTTACTTACAACTTTTCTGTTTTCATGACATACCTTATTTCAGACCCAGTGATGTCATCACTGGGTCTACGTGCTTCTCTATGCAATGCAGACAGATCATGGCATGTGGGAGGGGACAGTATGGAGCTGTACATATCTTCCTGAAAACATCACAGCACCCTGACTCAGTACTCCTCTCAACAGTGGGAGGAGTTATGCAAATACCTTGATTGGTGAGTGTCAGTCTGGAGGAGTGGGTGTTCTTAGGCAGGATGTCTTTACCTGCTGACCACCCTGGGTAACACCCACATGTAAAGCTGAGCCTCCACGAGTTCAAGGCGACCCAACGTTACGGCTCCAGGGGGTGGGGCCTTGACAACCTGGATCCGAGGAAGCAGAATGTGAAAACCAAAAACCGGGGAGAAGAAAATGTTACACTAATGGGCCCCAATGAGGACTCCCTGAGCCGCCCCCCCCCCCGTATACAGTGGTTTTAATGTGACCAATAAAAGGCGTCCATTGAGGAGCAGTAAGCCCAGATCCTCCAGATAATCTACAAAGCAGCGGGAGCGGCTGGAGAGGGAGCGGCTGGAGAGGGAGCCGGCTGGAGAGGGAGCCGACTGGAGAGGAAGTCGGAGATGGAAGCACAATCTAATTGTCTGCCTGGGCCGGTTCTTCATTCCGGTCTATTGGCTGGCAGGATGAATCATGGACTTCATTAGGACAGAGGACAGGTTCCCCCACAATGGCTGCTTGATTATTGTTGGTAATCAGAACAAACAGGAGGGGAGAGGAAAGGCCATGTCGTGTTTTTATGTCCGCGGCGGCGAGACGCACGAGCAGCGACTTTCCCGGGGTGACCACCCAGGCTGCCGGCTTCTGGATTATTCAGCATTAAAACATATCTCTTCATATCCAGGAAAAACAGATCCAGGAAGCCGGGAGCAGGAAATGTCAAACAATTCATGAGAACGGAGACGATGGGACAATGCCGGGGGGCGGGGGATGGGGGGGGCACTGTCATCCCTCATAATTAACTCTGATAAATCAGTAAAGCCGATCGATGACATCTCATAGGAGTCGATGTGTCCTATTAAGTCTTTTTAAATCTGCGAATCATCAGCATAACATATATATATTGCCAACGTAAACCATACTCACCGTTTTCACGGGACCCCGACCAATGAGTGTGGCCGCACAGAAGTCGGGGTCCCGGGAAAGTCGATCTTCCTAATCTAGAACTGATCTTTCTGACAAGGAACAGGGGGATCCCATTCCTGCACAGAATGTGGCTTTGTCCCGGCATTGGATGGACTGGAAGAACACCAACTCACTGACTTCACGAGGATCTCATGGAAATGACAATAAAAAAAAACCAGCCCTCCGCCTTATTTATTACAGTAAGTCCCCGCCCCCGAGGAGCCTACAGTCTAAGGTACCTCTCTCACATACATTATAATGCCCAAAGTATTGAGCCCGCCCTCCTAATCATGTGATTCAGGTGTTCCAATCCCCTCCATATCACGTGATTCAGGTGTTCCAATCCTCTCCATATCAATGTGATTCAGGTGTTCCAATCCTCTCCATATCTTGTGATTCAGGTGTTCCAATCCCCTCCCAATCATGTGATTCAGTTGTTCCCATCCCCTCCATATCATGTTATTCAGGTGTTCCAATCCCCTCCCAATCATGTGATTCAGATGTCCCAATCCCCTCCCAATCATGTGATTCAGATGTCCCAATCCCCTCTATATCATGTGATTCAGGTGTTCCAATCCCCTCTATATCATGTGATTCAGGTGTTCCAATCTCCTCCCAATCATGTGATTCAGGTGTTCCAATCCCCTCCATATCATGTGATTCAGGCGTTCCAATCCCCTCCATATCATGTGATTCAGGTGTTCCAATCCCCTCCATGGACACAGGTGCATACAATCAAGCCCCTAGGCATGCAGATTGCTTCTACAAACATTGGTGAAAGAATGGGTCGCTCTCAGGAGCTCAGTGACTCCAAGCGTGGTCCCATGATAGGTGGCCACCTGGGCAATAAGTCCATCCGTGACATTTCCTGGCTACTAAATATTCCACGCTCAACTGTTAGTGGGATTATAACAAAGTGGAAGCCACTGGGAACAACAGCCACTCAGCCACCAAGCGGTAGGCCACGTCACATGACAGGGCGGGGGTCAGCGCATGCTGAAGCGCACAGTGCGCAGAAGTCGCCAACTGTCTGCAGAGTCAATAGCTAAAGACCTCCAAACTTGGTGTGGCCTTCAGATGAGCCCAACAACAGTGCGTAGAGAGCTTCATGGAATGGGTTTCCATGGCCGAGCAGCTGCATCCAAGCCTTCCATCACCAAGTGCAATGCAAAGCGTCAGATGCCGTGGTGTAAAGCACGCTGCCACTGGACTCTAGAGCAGTGGAGACGTGTTCTCTGGAGTGACCAATTACGTTTCTCTGTCTGGCAATCCGATGGACGTGTCTGGGTTTGGCAGTGGCCAGGAGAACAGTACTTGCCTGACTGCATTGTGCCAAGTGCAATGTTTGGTGGAGGGGGGATTATGGTGTGGGGTTGTTTTTCAGGGGTTGGGCTTGGCCCCCTAGTTCCAATGAAGGGAACTTCTAAGGCAACATTTTGGACAATTTCATGCCCCCAACTTTGTGGGAGGAGTTTGGGGATGGCCCCTTCCTGTTCCAACATGACTGCCCACCAGTGTACAAAGCAAGGTCCATAAAAACATGGAGGAGCAGGAATCCTCTGCAGTTCCCTGTAAGTGTTGCCATGCCGGTTTGGCCGCGTTACTGTGACTCTGGTACCACCTTGTCGGAATTTTTCTGCTAATACGCATTACTGCAGTCCTTGGTCTCCATGTGCCTTCTCTCTTCTCTGGGCACCAAGCTCCAGCCACCACCCACAAATGAATACAAGACAAGTTCGGTGGGTGGTGCTGGATATGAATCCTCAACCAGGGAAATGAAGTCCAAATGACTTGGGCATTGGCAGGTCTACACAAAGTGGGGGGTCCTAAAAAATAAGGGTCACCCAAAGTGATTAGTCTATAGACAGCTGGATTAGAAAAAGCACCAAACGAATAATCCAAGAGCCCAAAAATTCTTTATTGAGTGAGTGACCTCAGAAAGGACAACCAGCGCCATGTTTCAGGGGCCCAAAGATCTCCCCTTTCCTCCGGCAAACACATTATTGGACAGGCATGGCCCACTGTTGTCCAGAGCAACGATGGACAACCAATTATAAATACAGGGATCCAAGACGGGTTAGGGGGTGTGAATGGAGCTTACTTCATTTCATCACTGTTATGGTCCTGAGGACGGAGGAGATCTTTGGGCCCCTGAAACGCGTTGGATGTCCGTTGTCCTTTCCATGGTCACTTCCTGAACAAATAAACCATTTCTGGACTTTTGGATCATTTGGTGGTTTTTTTTCTGTTCCAACTGCAAAAGCAACAAATGCAGACAGGAAGTGGGTGGAAATGGCGGAGTAGGTGAAGAAGCATGGAGATGGAAGGTAGGATGCGAAATAGACGAAAATCATTTTTTTTTTTGTACTCACCACAACATTCATTGAAGGACAAGGGGAAGATCTTCAGATCCTAATAATTGGGTAAAGTGCCACCTGCAGGAGTAGGACTTTCAGCACAAAGGCCCAGCCTGGGGGTAGCCCCTGCTGGTGGCCAATCCCCCCCGCCCCCAATCTGCTAAAGGCAGCTCACCCTTCCCAGCCCTGAGTTGTCCCAGCAGTCAAGTTCTAGAGATCTCTGCCATCTCCTTCAATGAATGGAGGAGGAAATGGGAATTTTTTTTGTACTCACCACAAACATTCATCGAAGGACAAGGGGAAGATCTTCAGATCCTGCCAATTGGGTAAAGTGCCACCTGCAGGAGAAGGACTTTCAGAACAAAGGCCCAGCCTAGGGGTAGCCCCTGCTGGTGGCCAAACCCCCCTGCCCCCAATCTGCTAAAGGCAGCTCACCCTTCCCACCCCTGAGTTGTCCCAGCAGTCAAGTTCTAGAGATCTCTGCCGTCTCCTTCAATGAATGGAGGAGGAAATGGGAATTTTTTTTTTGTACTCACCATAAAATCCTATTCTCTGTGTTGACTGATGGACACAATGGAAAATCTTTAGATCTCGACCATTGGGTTATAGCGCCTCCTGCTGGACTAGGACACTAGGCGCAAAAACGAAAGCACGGCCCTGCTGGTGGTCAACCCCCCTCCCCCTCAAATACAGAAGTAACAATTCCAATTGAATGCATACAGTGCAGAGCTTTGGGGGGGGGGAGGTATAGCAGCCCCCCAAAAAGTATTTTAATCCTGTGTTCTTGGTCTGTGTATAAAGTTTAATTACAGATGCACATCTGGGCAGTCATATTTCCTCACTACATATGCAGGATGTGCTTCCTACTCTTTACTGATGCACAATATTGATCCAAACATGGTCTGTCTCTCAGCAGCTGATCTTCTGCTGTCTTTAATGATGTGAAACACCCATAATGCTCCTTGTAGCCAGAGACCTTGTGATCCCCAGGGTAGCGCTATAAAATGATCCCTCGGGTAGCGCTATAAAATGATCCTCCAGGTAGCGCTATAAAATGATCCGTCGGGTAGCGCTATAAAATGATCCTGCAGGTAGCGCTATAAAATGATCCTCCAGGTAGCGCTATAAAATGATCCCTCGGGTAGCGCTATAAAATGATCCCTCGGGTAGCGCTATAAAATGATCCCTCGGGTAGCGCTATAAAATGATCCCTCGGGTAGCGCTATAAAATGATCCTTCGGGTAGCGCTATAAAATGATCCTTCGGGTAGCGCTATAAAATGATCCCTCGGGTAGCGCTATAAAAATGATCCGTCAGGTAGCGCTATAAAATGATCCCTCGGGTAGCGCTATAAAATGATCCCTCGGGTAGCGCTATAAAATGATCCCTCGGGTAGCGCTATAAAATGATCCCTCGGGTAGCGCTATAAAATGATCCCTCGGGTAGCGCTATAAAATGATCCCTCGGGTAGCGCTATAAAATGATCCCTCGGGTAGCGCTATAAAATGATCCCTCGGGTAGCGCTATAAAATGATCCTCAGGTAGCGCTATAAAATGATCCTCCAGGTAGCGCTATAAAATGATCCCTCGGGTAGCGCTATAAAATGATCCCTCGGGTAGCGCTATAAAATGATCCTCCAGGTAGCGCTATAAAATGATCCTCCAGGTAGCGCTATAAAATGATCCTCCAGGTAGCGCTATAAAATGATCTTCCAGGTAGCGCTATAAAATGATCCCTTGGGTAGCGCTATAAAATGATCCTCCAGGTAGTGCTATAAAATGATCCTCCAGGTAGTGCTATAAAATGATCCCTCAGGTAGTGCTATAAACCATCCTGCGGGTAGTGCTGTAAATCGATCCCTCGGGTAGTGCTATAAAATGATCCTCAGGTAGCGCTATAAAATGATCCTCCAGGTAGCGCTATAAAATGATCCTCCAGGTAGTGCTGTAAAACGTTCCCGCAGGTAGCGCTATAAAATAATCCCTCAGGTAGCGCTATAAAATGATCCCTCAGGTAGCACTGTAAATTGATCCTTTCAGTAGTGCGGTAAATTGATCCCCCGGGTAGTGCTGTAAAACGATCCCGCAGGTAGCGCTATAAAATGATCTCTCAGGTAGCGCTATAAAACGATCCTCCAGGTAGTGCTATAAAATGATCTCTCAGGTAGCGCTATAAAACGATCCCTCGGGTAGTGCTGTAAATTGATCCTTTCAGTAGTGCGGTAAATTGATCCCCCGGGTAGTGCTGTAAAACGATCCCTCGGGTAGTGCTGTAAAACGATTCCAGGCTGTGATACTTGCCTTTAAACCAGAGCTGTTCACCGCAGCACCTCATCTTTACCACAAGATGTCCTCAGTCAGCATTATCTACCCAGAAGTTTGAGCACCTATCACAAGTGGAAGCAATCATGGCCCCACCCCTGAGGAGGCGATTCCATAGCACCTTCCATTTACAGCGTGTTAATGCCGAGAGTGGCTCTGGTCATCTTATCAGCGCTGCTCTCTGCATCAGTAAGGAGCGCCCTTCCTGGAGAAAAAGGCGAAAAGGACCCTGTGACGTCACGTCGCTTCCAGTGGAGGTGAGGGGGGGACCACGGAGCCTGGAGCTGGGCCTTCAGGTCACACAGGAGAGCACAACAGCGGTGATTTATTCTCAGTTCATGGCAGCAGGGGTGGACTGACAACTCATGGGGCCCGGGGCAATCGGGAATCATGGGGCCCCTGTGTCCTCGTCCACACTCAAACCACACCCAAAAAAGCCTCATGGGGCCTCCTGCTGACCTTGGGCCCTCGGGCAGTGCCCGATAGCCCGAATGGTCAGTCCGCCCCTGCATTCCAGGAGCTTTTATTCCAAATCATTTAAAAACATAATTTGGTCCTGATTACTTTTTTTTTTCCAATAATATAATAATAATAATAATATAATTCAGAATAAAAAATATAATTTGTCAGTTTTTTGGGTTTTTTTTTAGGCCGATCACTAATTTCAGTTACAGCTTTGCCATTGCAGAGGCCACCTGCTGAACATGTGTTCTGGTCACAGCGCCACCTACTGACCACACAGTGTCAGCACTGGTGGCCTGAATTCTATGGTTCTATGGAAGGGCTGGAGCGCCATCTAGAGCGCCATTATTATTACTACAAATGGAAAGTTTCACGGATGCCCTTCATTGGCTAACTCCAGTTTTCTGCCTCACTGAGATCCACTCTTCGGGCCTGAAGAAGATGAACCCCAAAGCTTGCATCCTTCACGCAGAGATCCCCTTCTTCGGACCTGAAGAAGGTGAACCCCGAAAACTCGCATCCTTCACACTGAGATCCACTTTTTGGGCCTGAGGAAGGTGAACCCCAAAAA